TTTTTTTACTATATTCCATTTCGTAGAGAGTCTGAGATTAAACTGTGCAAATAATAGGTAATGGTCTGAGTCAGCATCCGCTCCCCTAAAAGTTCTCACCTTTCTAATAAAACTGGCGTGTCTTTTATTTATCATTATATGATCTATCTGATTGTGAACTCGACCATTTGGAGAGACCCATGTGTATTTGTGAATATATTTTCTTGGAAAGTAAGTGCTGCTAATTGTTAATTCTTGTGATGAAGCAAAGTGAATTAGTTTTGTACCGTTGTCATTACTTATTTCATGCAGGCTATTTGGTCCTATTATGGGTCTGTATATGTTTTCTCTACCTATTTTCGCATTAAAATCACCAACTATCATTTTCAAACTGTGAGTAGGTAGGCTATTCATTACTGTCTCTAGTTCATCATAAAACTTTTCCTTTATATCATCGGCTTTATCCTTTGTAGGAGCGTAGCAGTTGATCAGAATTAGATCAAAATGTCGTCCAGATATTTTAATGTAGCAAATGCGGTCATTTACTGGTGTGAAACTCTTTGTGTTATGAAGAATTTTTTCATTAATCATGAAACCAACTCCATTCTCATGTCTTCCATTGTTAGTCCCACTGTAAAATAGTGTTGTACTACCCGTTTTAATCCGTTTTAATGTTTTCACTATCAGGCCATCGTACTTCCTATAATGCTAGGATGTCTAATTTATATGATTTTTTAGCATCTATGACATATTTAAATGCTCCCGGTTTGTTGAGTGTTCTAATATTCCAAGTTTCCAAACGAAGTCCAGTTTCCAAATCCAGTCGTTTACCATGATCAATATGAATCCGAGGCCCATTTGAAGGTTTCTTAACAAGTGATTTTTTCCGAGGTCGGGGTGTTAGCCCGACGCTCAACCCCCAACCTGGAGGACCAGTCCACACTAACTACTTAAAGTCAGTGTGGAGGCTATTGTAATATACCATAGGTATATTGGGCGATGGGGATGCCACTTTCTCAACGCCGAATAATTAATTAGTATAAATATTTTATGAATAATATTGCTTTCATTAAATTAATCACTGTGATATAGTAAGTAGAGTTAAATTAGATAAAATATACTGATAAGTAAGGCCTAACCGACCTGAATATTGTTCAGCATACATTTCTGCTGACCGACGAAAATTTCTTAAGCATTTACCATACATATAAAGCATTTGCACATTTTGTTGGTTATTAGTTAATTGTTGGTATGTTGATAGTATTTTAATCTTGTTTATAGCATCTATAAAAATAAAATAAATAAAACAATACCTAAAAATATGCAAAAGAGAATCAATAATAAATATCGTCGGGCGACATAAAAATTTGTCATTTAATTTCGATAATTGTCGAGACCGAGATTAATTACATGCATTTCTTTCTATTTTTCATTATTAGCTTTTACGGGCCATTTAGGTCCATTGCTGAAACAACCAATTGCCTCCACTAATGGCATCTCTACTAAAACGAATACGTGTTGGAATACCGAAATCGATTAACTAACATTCTTTCGTCGACAACAGCATCAATATTTTAAACGTCACGTTTTGATTATTTTTCTACAATCATCTTATTATATTGGTGTAGATGTTACATACACAATAGTCGTGACCCTATATTTAATTTGTACAGCAATAATTATTCGCATCGGATAGCAAGTAAAATGAGTGGTGTACTTTAACATACATACGTGTTCTAATTACTAGTCGTTGATGCGACAAGTCCTAAAATTAATTACTGAACGCACAGATAACACCCACGGTTCTCGATAGGTTTTCATACAGCGCAAACCGCCTAGACAAGTGGTTTTGGAGTTTTATATTTTTCTTCAAATCGCGATATCGTTTAGTTTATATAGAAAAAAAAATAAATAAATAAAAAAAAACTTCGACTTACACGGCTGGGAAAATTTGGGTCGAGTGGCCACGTACTGCTAACATTTCAATAACGTAATTCGTATACGGTATCTACGTATGTGTTATGAAACGAAATACGTATTAAACATGGTCTTTATTGAGATACATAAATTAGAACTATAGAGTCGATGGTGACATAAGAGAAACGTTTAATTTTATATATAATCAATATTATTACTACTACAATTATTATAATTATATATAAATATATTTATGTACATCGTAATACTGTACAAATGGGTGGTTTGATACGGATTTGGAATTTTAAAAATTACAATTTTTCGGACAACTCTTACGTCGTTGAACCGGCCGATAGGAGACGGGTCACCGCGCTTGGTGCGGATGCGGACTGATTGCGTGGACTTCGGGTACGGTGGACCAACAACTCTTCTCGGCGGCCAAAGCTACCCCACCACCCACGTATCCGATCCTCGCGATTCAATCACGCACACGCACGTACAACGTACTATTTTCAACCTATTCCTTTTCGTCTTGAGCACCGTTGTCGACGGCGGCCGTGTTGGTTTTGTCCGCGACAGCCGCGTCGGGGAGCGATTTGTCCGCGACAGTCGCGTCGGGGTGCGATTTGTCCGTGACGACCGCGTCGGGATCGGCCCTGTCCGCAACGGCTTCGGCCGCGGCCGCGGCGCCGGTGACGAACGTGGCTCCGGTGTAGCCGCAGTGCTCGCTCAACGACTGCATCTCGGTCTGCCTGTGGGACGCTTTCATGGCGATCTTCAGGCAGTACACGAAGGCAATGGTGATGGTGGCCACCAGCAGCACGATGGCTACGCCGCTGAAGATCACGGTCAGATGGACGGCCTTGATGGGGCGCTTGGGATTGCGCTTCACCTCGTACGCCATGTTGTTG